TAAAAATAAAAGAGTAAAACAAAGTCAAATATAATAATCTTAATGAGAGCTATGCGCCTGCGAGTACCGATCGCACATGGATAGAAATTATTTTCATTCATTAATTTTTAATTCTAAAGCTCTGGAGAGATTAGGAAATGCCGAAAGGTCTTAATCTCGATGAAGGAAAAATCCGAATCTGCACCTCCACGCGGTAGAGAACGGGCAACATCAATTTTGATGGCTAACGCAGATAGGGACCGAGTGATTGCCGGTATAAGCAGTCCCCCACTTACCGACCAACGGCTCCGGGCGGACGAGTTGGTAGGTGGCAGGGCACTCTTTTGTCCTGTCAAACTGTAAAAAAACAAAAAAAAACATGACATGGGAAAACTGAAATGTAGCGAAGTAAAAGAAATAGTCAGCAAAACATTAAATAGAAAATTTAAAGAAATCGATAATACAACGGAAAGCACAGAAGATAAGATAGAATCCCTTAAGAAAACAATAGACGACATTAAAGACAATTTTATGAAGAACGAAGAAGGTAAGAATAAGACATGGATGACGACAGAGATTCTGCAACTAATGGAAGAAAGAAGGAAAAACAAGAACGATAACTACATGTATAAACCATTACAGCGAGAGATACAGAGAAAGATCAGAGAAGCCAAACAGAAAGAACTGGAAAAAAAATGCCAAGAAATCGAAATTGTCCAAAGTAAATACGACGACTTCAACGTGCATAAGAAGGTAAGAGAAATTACAGGTAAATGTAAAAACAGAAGAATAAGTAAACTTGTTAATGACAATGGAGAGATAATCGTGGACAAAGAGAGTATCAATGATACCTGGAAAAATTACATAAGAAATTTATTTTTTGATGAGAGAGAGAACCAGCCCCCAATACCTACGGAAACAGGACCACCTATACTAGTGGCAGAAATAAGAGCAGCCATAATATCACTAAAAGAAGGTAGAGCTCCAGGACCAGACGGAGTACAATCTGAATTTCTTAAACTTCTTGATGATGAATCTTTAAGAGTACTATGTAAAATCTTCAATAATATCTATGACACAGGCAATATCCCAAAAGATTGGCTACTTTCAGAATTTATTACCTTACCAAAGAAACAGGGAGCAAAAAAGTGCGGAGAATATAGGCTAATAAGTCTAATGAGCCATACATTAAAACTTTTTCTTAAAATTATACATCGTAGAATATACAAGCTATGCGAAGAGAGAATACAAGACACACAGTTTGGATTCATGAAAGGCGTAGGTACAAGAGATGCACTGTTTAGTCTACAAGTATTATTTCAAAGATGCAGAGATATGACTTGCGATATTTACACCTGCTTTGTGGACTACCAAAAAGCATTTGATACAGTTCAACACCAAAAAATGATGGATATTCTAACAAAAGCCCAAATGGATGATAAAGATCGGCGTATAATACAAAATTTATACTGGAACCAATCAGCCACAATAAGAACGAATTTTGGAGGTGAACCAACGGAAATGATCCAGATTCTACGAGGCGTTAGACAAGGTTGTATACTTTCACCTATATTATTTAATCTATATTCAGAGGAAATATTTAGTGAAGCCTTGGAAAAATGCGAACATGGAATACTTCTAAATGGAGAACGCCTAAACAACATCCGTTATGCAGACGACACCGTTATTTTTGCAGACAGTTTGAACAGTTTACAGCAACTAATAAACAAAGTAAATGAAGTAAGTGAAAGATTTGGACTTCAAGTAAATATAACAAAAACTAAATTTATGATCATCAGCAAAAATAAAGTTAGAGACGCTCAACTACTTATCAATAATACACCAGTGGACCGAGTAAAACAGTATAACTATCTTGGAACAACAGTAAATGAACAATGGGATCACTCACAGGAAATAAAATGTAGAATAGAGAAGGCTAGGAGTGCATTCAATAACATGGCCAAACTCTTTAAAAGCCACAATCTTAATCTGGAGATAAAAGTAAGGCTCCTACGATGTTATATCTTCTCAATATTGTATTACGGAGTTGAATCCTGGACACTAACTGAAGCAATGGAGAAAAAACTTGAAGCCTTCGAGATGTGGCTATACAGGCGAATTCTAAGGATATCATGGACAGACAAGATAACCAACGAGACCGTATTACGAAGAGTGGGCAAAGAAAGAGAGGTGATGTATACCATTAAAAGGAGAAAGTTGGAATATCTCGGACATATAATGAGAAACAGCACTAAATACAGATTACTGAAGGTAATCCTACAGGGTAAAGTATTCGGAAAGCGAAGAATTGGGAGAAGGAGAATATCATGGTTAAAGAACCTGAGGAAATGGTTCTCCACAACAACAACGAATCTATTTAAAGCATCAGTCAATAAAATAATTATAGCCAGAATGATTGCCAATATTCGGAACGAATAGGCACTGAAAGAAGAAGAATTTTTAATAAACAAAAATTTCTCTACCAGATGGGATTCGCGCCTACCTTTAGATTTAAAGGTAGGCGCTCTTACCACTGAGCCACAGAGGGGGTTGGCTGTGTATTTGAGACACACACAATTATCATTTTCAAGTACGAGACGATTTCTAACTCTTGTTTTAATGGCAGTCATAGACGAGAAACTTAACTCACACAAATATGATGTTACACATGGAACCAAACATTTTACAGCTTCACTCGCCAACTGGGGGTATTCCTGCATCTTTTCGGTAGAAAATTGGTCCGAGTTCTGGGAAAAAAATTGGAGCTTCATTCCATCACTTGATATTTCAATAAGTTTTTCTTTCATGTTTATTGGTATTTCAACATGCTGAAAGGAATCGGCTAAAAACGGATTTAGTATCCATCTGCACCTGTCGTAATTGTTTTGAATTTCTTCGGGGAAATAATCACAGAGCTGTTGTTTTAAATTGAGCAAAGTAACATGCATGTCAGCAAAAACTCGTTCAACATTTGTAGCACTGTAATTGGATACATTTTCCATAATTTTCTGAAGGCACTGGAATGAATCGAGTTGTTTTTTGCGACCAAGTGACCAAGTGAGGTCGACCATAAATCGATTTTTCTTAGAAACGCCTTAATTTTATCTGTGGCTGTAAGTATATTAATGTCGCGACCTTGTAAATTATTGTTCAAAAAATTTCATTGCTCGAAAATATCAGCAAGGAAACCTAGTTTCAGAAGCCAAATAGGATCGGAAAATTGATTTTCATATGGGGACTTCTCATCTTTCAAATACATTAAATGCTCTGCTCTTAAGTGAAATACTCTTTTTAAGACGTTGCCCCTTGAAAGCCACCTTACTTCAAAGTGATAGAGAAGATTTTCAAATAAAGCACCCATATCTTCGCAAATTTTTCTAAAAATACGGGTCTGCAAAGCTTTTCCTTTAATGGAATTTACAACTTTAATGATGGTTTTCATAACACAGTCCATTTCAGGAGGTAAAGCTTTGGACGCAAGAGCTTCTCGATGTAAAAAACAATGTCTCCATTTGGCATTATTTCTTGTAATTTGACGACAAAACCAGATTTATGTCTATGTCTCATAGCTTTAACGCCATCTGTGCATTAAGCAATACATTTACCCCAGTCAATATCATATTTACTTGTACGTTTCACAAAAGTGTCGAGTAAACATTTTCCAGTGGTATTGGTCTCCAATGGGGAACAAATACCATAAAATATCTTCTTGAATGTCATTATTTGTATCATACCTTACAAACGTAATGAATTGGGCACAGTTAGATACTATATCTGTGGATTCGTCCATTTGAAGAGAGAAGTAAGTGCATTTATTTTTTTTCCACAAGATTTTCCACAACTTGCGCTTGAATATCTTCTGCCATATCACTAATTCTTCTTTGGATAGTATTATTTGACAGAGGTATTGTATTTAATATTGCAGCCTCTCTTTCCCCATACATTATAATATGTACCATTTCAACAGCTGCTGGAAAAATCAGATTTTCAGCAATTGTGTGCGGATTACTAGTTTTGGCAACACGATAAGCAACTTTATAACTTGCTAATAAAGCTTTTTCATTAGTAGTGGTTGCCAAGGGAAAACTGTCTTGCTGTTTGTGAAGGACGTTCAGCTTTTTTTCAAAGAATTCTAAGGGCTTGTCTTTTTTATCTGGATGTTTGCTATTTAAATGTCGAAGTAACTTTGATGGCTTCATGCTTTCTTTTGACAAGACTTGTCCACAAATAACACATTGTGGTTTATTGGAAATAACGGTAAAACCATATTTAAGATATTCATCAATGTAGAATCTGTTTTTCTTTTTATCGCTGCTACTGCCACTTTCAGACGTAGATGGTTCTGCACATTTTTTTAAAAACTTATCCATAATTTATAATTTATCGCAGACGTTAATACGTAAGTCGTAAAATATTTACTCATTACTCAACACCGCGTTCGCCACCATAGGCTGTTTGGATTCGAACTGAGGTTTCGTTGCGCATCGCCGCTTATATAAAGCCAAAACGAGGCTACGAGAACGTTTCAGAGTGCCATCTAGTAGCGAGCGCTTTCGCGATTATCATGGAAGAGTTTTGCGATGTAGACACAAGCTAATATGTCGCGGTATACAATGTGCAGTCGACTTCTTATTATTTATTTTTATTGTAAATGCTATTCTGGCAGAAGTACCCACTACTAATTACTAGTGGGAGACAGATCGCAATCATTAAAATGATTGTATTAAAATAAAATAATTGTTTTTGATTTAAACTTAAACAGTAAAGTAAAATTAAATTTAAGAAACCATCAGATAATTGTAAATTAGGCACGCTACTTCTGTCAAATAATATTGAATAAATGTGGGGGGTCGCGAATAAATTTTATAGCAAAAAGGGGTCGCGGTTTAGATAAGTTTGAGAAACTACTCTGCAGTAGAGTAATGGTTTTAAATACTAAAAAATATATAACGGTAGAAGATTTAAAAAAAGGTGGACAGAATAAAAGAAAATTGAAAGAAGTGTACATGAATAAAACCTACCTTTTTACAGCCGGTGCTTGTGATGGTACCACTGACGACATGATCTGGTTGATGGGAGTGGCCCCATATCCATGATCCAGTAGATGGGGACTAGGCGTCGTTTCCGACTTGATGATGGTCATGTCGGGAGTGGAACTCATCGGAATAGACCTGTAGGCCCCACGGGGGCTCTCGCTAGTCCTGATTGTACGAGGCATGGTGCTCTGATTTAGGTTTGTGGTTTTGGTTTTTTATTTCTTGGTCATTTTTGTTTTGAGATATTTTGCGTAGCTAGTTAGTTTGAATCTGAAAAAAAAACAATAGTAATAATAAGACACACATACAAAATGTAGTTTTTTAACATAATGAAAAGACAGAAAAATAATTTTCTATAATCTAATTTATTAGAATAGAGCCACAGAAAAAAATTGCAATGTACAAAGGCCAGGAAAGCACTTATTTCTACGGCTTACTCACCATTCTGTATAATGGGACATTTATAGTTTGACATTATTAATCTAAGTTTGGTAAGGTCTATACGTTTAACACATTCGCTGCGACCTGTCGCCAAAAGGCGTTTTGCCTTACTTTAGTGATGTGCCACTGTAGCCTTCTGGCGTTCACAAATTGTGGAAATAAAGCCAGTAAGCTCTACGCATAATTACTTCTTGTTTTGCAGGCACCAAATAAAGGTTCAATTCATACATTTTTGACTTGGATTTTTATCTGAAGTCCTTCATTTCCTACTCCAATATTTTTCCTAAGAATACACTCAGGCAGAACGTAACAGTGTTTTATTATGTTAAATATTACGAATTTACAGTTTTTTAGTTCATTGCTACCAATAGTGAGTAATAAATAGGCGACAACGAATGTGTTAACAAAAATTTTTGGGAAATTTAAGTAAAAATGTTTTTCAATATCTACAACAGTTGTAAAAGTAAACATCTAGTTGCAAAAGAGGGAATGAGTTAACTAAATAGCGTGAAGATTAGAAATATATATTATAAACGAATTATGTTCAGTTTTCCAGAGATAAGACAGCACTGGAATCAAAATTTTCTACAATGAGAATAGAGTACAGCTGAGAATAGTCAATATGATAAAATAGTGGTGGATACCATTTTTTTGAAGATACTACTTTTGCACAATATCACAATGATACACTTATTTCATTCTCAAATCAACTTCAGAGAGGGATTGGAAAATTCCCTTTGCTTTTTTGAGTTTTTGACGAAAGAAGAATAAGCAGGGTAATCATAACACTAACTAGATATTTAATTTTAATTTAAACATAAGTAATACTTTTGTTTAGGACTTTATAATAACTTTCATCATCCATTCACAACAAGGAAAAATGTTGCAAAAATGTTATTTCGTATGTTGCACCGCGTCTTTAAACTTGAATTGACAGAATTTTTGATAATTTTTGTACTAATATGCAGTTTGAACAGAATTGTGCAGTTAAAACAATTACACAGATCAACAAAAAAAATTTGGTTGAAAACTTTTTTGACTTTAATAGCTGATTTTTATGCGCTGAAACCAAATCTGGTCTTAGTTTTTTGTATTAAAATCATGTTGGTTTTACAGCGGCCGTGGTAGCTTTTTTCCATCAATTTAATATCCGGGTGAAAACGTTCACTTTCATCTCCCAAATTTTCCTGGAAGTAATTAAAATGACTGTTCAACAAGTAAACTATTAGTAACTTTTTAAATTTCTCAACATGTTAGCTACAATGGTAGCATAGTTTGGCTCTTTTGTATTTCCTAAGAATTTTGTAACAACTTGCTTGAATAATACCCATGCTTCCATCAAAGCCGAAAAATCACTGGCCGCTATTTTTTAACTGGAATATTGGGGAAGTCAAAAGAAAGGCCGTATTATCCCGTGGTTATCGAAACTTTTGCTGCATCATGACATTTAAGCAAAAAAGGGACTTTTTTCATTCATTTCGATATTGTAAAAAAACTACGTATTCTAGATAAAAACGTTCAGCAGACGACTTTCTTGAAAATACTTTCTCTTTAAAATGAGATTTTCTAAAATGTTCTTCAACTGAAAACTTCAAATATGTAGTTACTACATTTGTGAAACATGGGCACAATCGGTTAAGTAGTTTTTTAACAAATATATTTGTTTATCCCATTTGGGAGAAAAAAGGTAATTTTCAAATGGCTGTATAGGTGCTTTGTCAATACTTAGAATGTTTTTTTGGTCTGATTCTCTTTATAAGGTCTCAAATTTTCACGTTTCTTAAACACTATAATAATTTTTAATTGTTTATATACAAATAATTGATGCAGAATGAAATACCAATACCATTATATTGGCAATATCTCTGTCACAACTTATGCCGCGCATTATATATTACCAACTGCCACAAACAAGTAAAGCTTTAGACAGGATTTGCTTCTTTTGATATTAAATTTAATTTTATTTATGTATAATAAATATAATTAGTTAATAAATATAATCTTTTATTTGTCCCTGCCATTTCTCTTTGTCCAGATTTGCATTTAAGATAAGACGCACACCTGAGGCAGAGCTAATCGAACTCCTTACAATAAAATTTGTCATATCTTTAAATAATATTTACTAATTTAAAAGATCTTAAGTTTTCACAAAAATATAATAGGAATATATTATTATCAAATAGGTAATTCATTATATAATAATTGTAGCACTGCAGTACTTGTTTTTTTAATACATTTATCTTGCTCCATTTTTCTAGTTACACCGCCACTGAACTTTTAGTGGCGGGAAAGAAGCGATTGTCCTCATTCTTGAACGATTCAATCGTAAAATTCGCTACAATAACAATAAATAAATTGAGGCTTCTAGTTCTGTAGCCAATATTTTTATCAACGGTTTGGAGATAAGTACCACCACCTTTGTTTATTAAATTAACAGTATGTGAATGCTAACAGTTAAAGGTCTAATAATCTAACGACTAGAGATGGGCGATGCCATAATTTTTAAGCCACAGTTATGTTTGTGTTGTAGATCCATGAATCCAAGTACTCTAATTAAACTAGCGATTACTTTAAATTTCGTAGAAAAAATTTTTCCGAGCAACACTTTTTAAATTTAAACGTAAAAGATACATAGAAATAGAAGATAACGAGCGATAAAACGAATTCTCGGATGGCTCTGTTGGAGTTTTCAAAATCAATTTTGTGACCTGTATGAAAATGGTGTTGACCTAGAGCTGAAATTGAGTCTGAATTGCGAACATAAATGGAATGCTCATCAATTCTATTTTGGATTTTACGATTTGATTGTCCTAGTATGCATAAGGAATTTCATAAACTCCGTGTTGTTCATTTGGAATGATGAATGTCTTTGATTGAGCGCACACGAGAAGAAAGTTTTTGTTGGGAAGTAAATATTGTTTTTATTCCTCTTGATTTAAGAATTTTGTTTGTCAGTGACCTTTAATGTAATTAAGATAACTACTCTACAACTTTTTTAAAAATGAGGTAATTTTATGTAGTGTCAGCACTCGTATGTGGTCTCGAAGCATGGGCCTTGAAAATATCCAGTATTAATTACTTGGACGGATGGACAGAGGGACGAGAAAAAGTCGCAAAGATGCCAAAAAAAAATTATAAAATAGTCAACAAATTAAAAAAAAAGTTGCGTCTTAATGAGGTACCAAAAGGGATCTTCCATCATTGCTGCATTCCATCTTCCCTGGTAGCATTGCTCCATTGTGGGAATATCCTGGTGAAACCTTTTTCCTTGCTCGTCGCTGACCGCACCCAAATTTTCTGGGAAAAAATTTAAATGGGAGCGCAGAAGTGTACTTTTAAAGACATGCGATAGCCCATTTTGCAGTAATTTTTACGTAGTTCTTCTACAACAATTAGGTAATTTTCTGCTTTTTTGTTTCCCGAAAGTCGAAAACAATTCTTTTGAAAGAAATCCACGCATACTTAATTTTTCATCAAACTGTTGATCCCTCAGTATTTTTCTGATTTGTGGTCCAATAAATATTCTTTAAGCTTCGCGTCATTGAGCTTAAGAAAAATTTGGTTAAGGTATTTAAACGCATCTCCTTGTTTATCTAATGCTTTAACAAAATTTTTAATATATATATATATATATATATATATATATATATATATATATATATATATATATATATATATATATATATATAATCGAACACCTCTCTACCCTAAGGTGTGAGGTAAATACAATACAATACAATTACAGGTGACAGATATACATTACATCTCAAATCCAATGAAAATATTTATTCTATTATATTTATTCTATTCTGTGCACGAATTTTGTCCATTCTTTCTTGTTTTTTGCCTTATTTTGAGCTTCTGACCATTCCAATCCCCTACTTTTCAAAATCTGCCCTACTTCGTCATCCCAGGTTTTCCGTGGTCTGCCTCTGATTTTAAACCTCACTTTAGCCTTCCAGACTTGCTTAACGGGTCGGTTGTCGCTAATTCTGCACAAATGACCAAACCATTTTATTTGTTGTGTTTCAATAGCATGTAGTACTGATTCTGTGCCCAGTTCTTCTCTAACATCTTCATTTCTTATTTTGTCTCGTCGTGTTATTCCTTTGACTCGTCTTGGATATTTCATATCAATGGCTTGTATCTTGCTTTTTAATTGCTTTGTTAAAACCCAACTCTCGCTTCCATATATCAAGATTGGTCGGAATACTGTCTTATAAACTGTCATTTTGGTTCTTCTGCTGATTTCCGGTTTATCTATGAATGCTCTACTAAGATTATGGTACACTTTTGAAGCACTACTGATTCTTTCTGTTATTTCATTCTGCATGGTACCTTCTCTGTCTATTGTAACCCCTAAGTATTTGAATGCATCTACTTGTTCTATGAGTTGTTGGTTAATTTCTATGTTAACATTTCGGTTAGTTTTCGCTATTAGCATCACCTTGGTTTTCTTAACATTAATCTTCATGTTTCTGATTGCCAGCTCATTATTCCAGCTATCTATATTTTTCTGGAGGTCCCTTTCGTTGGAAGCGCATAACATGAGATCATCTGCGAATGCACACTCAGCTATACCAACCGGTCGTTGTTTACTATATCCGATATGTACTTTGTGTATACTTGCTTTTGTTTCCTTAAGTATGTCGTCAATAATCAGTATGAATAGTGTGGGGCTCATAACACCTCCTTGTCTTAGACCCTCGTTTATTGCAAACATCTCTGATTCCAGGTTATCCTTACGTACATAACTCTTGTTATTTTGATACAGACTTTTGATAGCACCTGTTAGTTGATGGTCAATATTTCTATTTTGCAGACTTTTC